AATTGAAATTTGACCATACTACCCTCATCAATCATTTCGTAACTTATTCATAAATTGAATAAAAATATTTTTTTATTATTTTGGGTCAGGTCGGGTTTCTAATTCATATATTCGAGTCGGGTCGGGTCGGGTCGGGTGAAACTTTATTTTGGTCGGGTCGGATCGGGTTTTTTTAAGTGTGATATTCGGGTCGGGTTCGGGTTTAGGGTGAAAAAAACCGGACCGACCCGAAAATATATATAATTCAGGTCGGGTCGGATTAAGTCATTGTTTTTATTAAATAAAAATAATTTTTTATTATTTCGGGTCGGGTCGGGTTGGATTTCTAATTCACATATTCGGGTCGGGTCGGATGAAACTTTATTTTGTTCGGGTCGGGTTTTTTAAGTGTGATATTCGGGTCGGGTTCGGGTTTAGGGTGAAAAAAACCGGACCGACCCGGAAAAAAATATAATTTTACCTTATATATTTAAGAATAATTACAATAATACCCCTCTATATATAATTTTTTTCAATTAAGTCAATGTTTTTATTGAATAAAAATAATTTTTTATTATTTTGAGTCGTGTCGGGTCGAGTTTCTAATTCATATATTAAATAAAAATAGTTTTTGGTATATTTTTTAGTAACTAATTAACATACTCCGATTGGAATGTATCGAAATATTGCTCTATCTTTTGGTAACTTATTAACATATTTTGATTGCGATGATTTTAACTTATAATGTTTATTAGCATGTTTTTTATAATTTATTGAAATGAATAATCAATCAATAAAATAAAATTTTAATATTTTTAATTTTTTATAATATATTACTACATGTAAGTTGTAAAATAAACTAAAATAAAGCAAAAAAACAAGAAGGGCAATTCTGTCATTTTATATTACTGAAATCAAATTCATCTGACATGTCTGCGAACCAAACAGAATATGGAATTAGATTTCAATTCTATTTCCTGCCAACCAAACAGAATATGGAATTGGATTACAATACCTACAGATTCTAATTCCTTCACAGATTCCAATTCCCTCATAAACATTTCAACAAACCAAACGCCACCTAAAGATTTCAGCAGCCAGGGAGAGGGTCTAGTATGTAGACTGTAGAAGTCAATATATGGTTTAAAACAAGCATCCAAGCAATGGAATATGAAGTTGACTGAAGCCTTGTTGGGTGCTGATTTTCAACAAAGCAGATTTGATTATTTAATATTCACTAAAAGGAGAGGTGACAGCCTAGTTGTGATGTTGGTTTATGCGAATGATTTGTTGATCACTGAGAACAGTGAAGAGTTGATTATTGAATTAAAAGAAATTTTGAACAAGAGTTTTAAGATGAAGGATTTGGAAAATTTGAAATATTTCCTTGTTTTGAAATTTTGAGGTCAAATGAGAGAATCTTGATAAACCAGAGGAAATATGTCATGGAACTCATTGAGGATGCTGGATTAGGAGGTGCCAAGCCTGCTTAACTTCATTAGAGCAACATTTGAAGCTTACCATTGTTGACTTTGATCAAGGAACACATCAAGAGTATAGTGATTTAACTTTGGAGGATAAATCAGTTTATCAACGATTGATAGGGAGGTTATTATATCTAACTCATACTCGACCAGACATTACTTCTGTTGTTCAACATTTGAGCCAATTCATGCAGCAGCCAAAGACTTCACCCTGGATAAGGTTTAATGTTTGAAGCAGTACATGAAACAAACTTGGGAATGAAGCATACAATACCAGTTAGACTTCTTAGTGACAGCAAATCAGCTGTTCAAATAGCAGCTAATCTTGTTTTTCATGAAAGAACAAAACATATTGAGATAGACTATCAATTTGTCAGAGAAAAACTTTAAGGAAAATTGATCCAAACTGAATATGTGACAACAACAGAACAAGTTGTTGATATTTTTACAAAGGCTTTGGGGACACAACAACATAATTATTTGATGAGCAAGTTAGGACTGAAAGACATTTTTCAGCTACCAACTTAAGGGGGAGTGTTGAGATAATAAATGCTAGTTAGTTAGTTTATAACAGTAGTTGATAGTAAGTAAGTTAGTTAGTTAGTTAAAGATTATTTACATTGAATTGTATTATATAAGAAGTATATTGTAAATGATTCGTATGATCAATGATACAAGGCATTAATTTCATTGGTTCAGTTTCTTAACGGTTGTTCATTTTATTAAAGGTGCTCACCTGAAATTTTATTTGTGCCTGCCCCAATTCTATTATTAATATATATGTTCACCCTGAAAAATATTTCTAGATTCGTCACTAAAAATATTGATGTAATGATACCTAGCCTATGGTATTCATACATGAGCATGAGTACTGATATTTCATACCTAGATTGATACCATTTGACGACTTTTGAACCTCTACACTTTAAATTTATGCATGGTAGCGATACTTTAAGAGTGGATACCGATGCACAGTAATTTTTATATAGAAATTTATATTTTAAAGGGGTCACAACATGTCCTAACCATGCCTAAATCATATGCAATCGCTTGAAACATACCAAAAGCATGGAATGTGACATGTTTAAAATATGTAATTGACTGATTGAGGAGATTTTAGCATGATAAGTAGTTTTGTGCAACTTTTATGCTTTTGAAGGTTCCTAAACGCTTCCTAACACGTCAAGTTATAACCACAAACTGCTTAATCTATTCCCATAAGTTTGTAAACTCAAAATCTACATAAAAATATTTTTGATTAGTTGAATACATGAGCGTGGTAAAATATGGCAAGATCATAATTTAAACAAAACAAAGTATGACATGCAATTATTGTTTAAAAAAATATTTAGTTCTTTCTCTTTTTCTTTGTTTTCTCTCGATATTTTTTTGTCGTCTTCTTTTTTTCTTTTAATTTTATTTAGCCGGCAACGCTACTAATTTTAATATCGGTTGTTGACTGTCGGTGATAATTATTATTTTTTATACTATATCATTTGTTTTCTTCTCTTTTTTTTCTTGTGTTTTTTTAATTTTAAATAAGAATCTTTGTCTTTGCGACACACTTTTTGTTCGCTCTTGTGGTCCATTACTTATGGCTTTTGTTACCTTTTTCGCATACATCTACGGTCGTGTTGGTTCTCACACAAAGACTCTCACAATTTTTGTTTTCTGATTGTTATTATTTTCTTATATTCTTTCAATCAAACAGTGTAATTTTATATTCATGTCAAAGAAACCAAACAAGGTAGTACAATATTCTCAGTAATATGTTAAGTGATATTATATTCTGATAATCTTATTCCCAGAGATAATCTTATATTTTGTGAACCAAGCAACCCCTAAGGATGAAAAAGAAGTCGAGTCTAACAGAGTTTTCTATAGTGCGAATGATGGAGGCCTTCTACGTCGTTGAGTATACGCGAAAGTGGATATGATTGGAGAAGGTGGGTGGCAACTGGTGATCGATGATGTTGATGGCAGCTTATGATGTCATCAGTAGTCGGAGAAAATAAGTGGATTTAGGGATTAGGGATTTTTGAATTTTTGAGTATTTTTAGAATTTTAGAAATATTTAGGGTTTTTGAATAATAAAATAACTTTAAAATTTTAAAATAAAATTTATAAACACGTCACATGTCACATTTTGAATGACTGATATTTTTTTTAACGGTCGTCACGAGTTAGACACTTAAACTAGTAACGTTAGTAATATTAGACAGTTATATTGACCGAAAAAAGTTTATGCACCTAAATGAGAAAATATATATAGTTTAGGCATTTTTTTATATTAAGAGTTCGCTTGTTTCATGGAAAATATATTTCGGAAAATTATTTCCGTAAAACGAATTACATTCTTTGAAAACTAATTTATAGAAATCATTTTATGGTATTTGGATGATGATGTGTAATTGATTTTCCATTGATTGGTAATTTTTTTAGAAACTACTTATTACAAATAATGAAAACAATAGATAATATTATTTATTAAAAAATTATTATTTTTATTTTTAAAGTACAAGTTAATATTATTATTATTAAAATAGTATTTTTACAATAAATAACATGATCTAATATATATTATTAAAATAAGAATATAGTATTATATAGTATTGTAATATAATTAAATATATTGATATATTATTATACTATTATACTATTGAAAATATTATATTATTAAAATTATTAATAAATATATTTTAATAATTAATATTTTTTAAATAATACTAAAATAGTATATTAATATTAAATATATAAAATAATATTATTTTAAATATTTATGCTTTGAAGTGAAAAGTTTAAAAAACTACTAATGAAAATCTGACCGTAAGTCATTTTTTCAGAAAATACAAATAAAATTTTGTTAAACATAAAAAAATAAGTTACATTGACTTCAATCTATAATTTCATAAACTTGACTCGATTCTATATTTTTATGATCAACAAAATTTCCTTTTTATTGTAAGTCAAATCGAAGGCTATGGCATCCTGAGGACCATTTTGTTAACTAGGAAACATTTATGATAGTGCTTTTGGTTGAGTTTTGTACTAATAATTTAAGTAACATCAAAGTAGTCAATATAATGAATGAATTAAGTATTTTTTATTATATAATTTAAATTGAATTATGCATTTAATATGTCAATAATCACTTTTATTCTATTTTGGTCATTTAATTATTTTTTATATCAAAACCATATATAATGTTATATTTTAGTTTCATTTTGGTCACTCTCATTTAAAAAATAACAAAATTACTAACGTGACATTTATAAATTTTTTTCAATGATGATGTGGCATTATCTTATAGTGACTCATCTACATCACCGTTAATTTTTTAACGATAGGTGATCAAAATGAAATCAAAACATAACGTTAAATATGATTTTGAAACAAAAAAAAATTTAGGTGATCGGAACAGAACACAATTATTAGTTGAGGTATTAGATGTGTAGTTTACCCTGTAATTTACTTGTAACACATTTTTAATATAGATGTATTTAACGGGTGATTTGATTTTGATCCCCCTTCCGGAAAAGGACTCTTACTGCAATAGAATCAACAATCCCAATTCCTAAAAGAGAAGAAGAGCGACTCAGACTGAATTCGAATTTGGTCATCCTCATCCTTTTCGACCGACGGAGGTAGAAATCGATGATACTTTTACAATCCCATTCACGATTCCTTCTCCAGACTTTGCTGAATCGAGTCCAGAAGTACTTTCTTTTTTCCTTCGGCTTTTTTTTTCCATTTCATTTCCTTTAATCCGATAAATATGAACTTTTATTGTTTTATTTTATTTTTTTTTTTGTTTTCTAATTTTTCTTCTTTAATTGCATCTTTGTTCTTGTACAATGTTTATATATTTGAAAAACATGTTGGGAACTCGAGCAGAATCAGGTCAAAGAATCCAACTACATTTCTAGTTCCTAGATGTATTTATCATTCTTTATGGCCTTCTCATATGAGGAGTTTGATGGTTCCTCTTCCTCATCAGATGCGTAATCTTCCATTGTTGGTTGCAATGCGTTGCTCACTCAACTTCTTTTCTTTTTTTTCTTTTTCCTTTCTAACTAGTAATGATAGGGTTTAGATATCTGATCCCCTACCCTAGGTGTTGGTATCCTGTAGATGTATCATGTCCACTGATGATACAATCCCCAAATATGGCCCTTCTTTAAAGCTTTGAAGCTTTAGCTTTTCCAGAAATAGTTTTTCTTCTATTGTTTTAAAAGATTGTGTATGAAAAATAATTAACATGAAAGATACAAATTCCCGTTCGAACTATAGTATACTGGGTTTATTTATTTATTTTTTTTGCATAGTTCAACTGTTATAAAGAATGAATTGATGAATCGTCAAGGACATTTGGATACGGTTAGGCTTTTCAGATGCGTTTAAATTCTAGGGCTTTTTTGTATTTAAAGTTTAGTAGCTAGTTTTGCTAGATTCCACTTCTCACAAGCCTCAAGCCTGCAAAGAATGTAGTGTTAAGAGTGTAAAATTGCTCTACTTTATATGTTAAAGGTGTATGCCAAGTTGGAACCATGCTATGCGTGCTGTCAATGGTCATGGACTCATATGTGCCATGCTGTAATATTTGTTTAATCAATTACACATGCTGGTGTTGAGTATAGAAACATATTTATTTCGGTGGAAACCACTGATTACTTTTCAGGCTACCTGGACAGTTCCAGCTTATTGTTTCCTCTCTCTTGCACAGCTTGCTAATTTCTCTCATGTTGATTTTGCAGCCTTGAAAAGGCAATTGAGCTAGACCACCACTGGGTTGAGTTTGATGATGTTCGTTACCATGTTCAGGTGATTTAAAAGCTTTTTCTTTGTTACAGCTATGTAAAATAAATTGAGCCATTCATGTCCACATATTGGTGTTTTGCTCGGTTAGGTTCTCTGAACTGATAGGATACCAAAGCCACTGTAATTATATTATTCTCATAATGATATGCAGGTGTCAGTGAAGAATCCACATATTTTACAGCTTTCATTATCACTACCTACACCACCTCTAGAAACTGTTTTCGTTGGCGGACTTCCATTTGGAGCCATAGAAGCTATAAAAGCAGCTTATGGTGTAATCGTGCAAATTCTTGATCCTCCAAGGGATGGCTTCAATTTGACATTGAAACTGAATTTGTCCAAACTTCCTCAAGATGAAGGTCAACAAGTTCACTTTTTTAGGTCTTTATGAGCTTGCACGGTTATATGCCAAAATATTAGCATCAACCTATTGAAAATTCCTGTACTTGATTTAAAATTAATAACTAATGTTCAGAGCATATAAACGTGTCTAAGCTTCTTTATTATTTGCTAAATGTTTCTCAATGACTTTCCTACACTTAATTCTCTTGGTTTTAAACTTGATATTAGTAAGTACATCTATAACTGAAGCTGAATGGTACTATATTACTAGCTGAATAGTCATAGATTTAGAAAGGATATATATGTGTATATATGCACCTTTTCTGAAACACAATAGGAGCTTTAGTTTAAGAGGTCAATCATATCTTGTATCGTGCTTCTACCAAGTAGCTTCCATGTCAAATAGTATGTTTGTCTGATAGTTTCAGATGCATATGCAATGTTCATCATTCCATATAAGAAAGAATGCTTGTCATAGCAAATAACGATAATCTGTCCAGTGATCACGGGAGTCAGTATCACAGCAAATAGAATCAGCTATGTTTGAAGTGTGCTCCAAACACATAAAGGAGTAATGTGCTCTTATTGCATGCACTCTCTGGTTGGGCTTTTTGCCTCATCTAGGTTTGCTATTCACAGCCACCCCATTAATCACACAAATGAAATATAGTTGAATTTTATCCACTATCAAACTCAATCTTATTCTATAAATAACTCTTTCTTTTGAAAATGCAATTAGTTTTTTTACAACGAAGGTACCTTTAAAATATTTTGCAGCCATCAGCTGACCTTATTACTTTATTTTTAATTGATGGAACAGTGCAAGGAAATTATCTGTTAGTGCCTGTTTATAGATGAGTTACAAGCATTGCTAGACTAAATTTTGTGTGTTTATTAAATAAAAACAAAATATTTGGGTTTATAGATGAGTTACAAGCATTGCTAGACTAAATTTTGTGTGTTCTTTATTAAATAAAAACAAAATATTTGGGCCTTTCTGTTGCAAAAGGATGGGTGTATGCTGTTCAACTTGTGGCAGGGGAGCATATCAAAAAGTAATATCTATCTATTATTTAGCTTCGTTCATGGTTGAGTAGGATTAAGGGCTTAGATACCCATCTTAGCTGACTCTCAGTAGAAAATTTACTAGAGATATTAATTAGATGCACCTTCACAGTGAGTTTAGCTTTTTCTTATTTCCTTGGTCTGCATTCATTATTGTTCTTGTGTGACAGTTGATTTTTATATCCTACAGAGAACAGACATACACTTTTGGTAAAGATTGCTTCTGTCAGAGAAGTGGTATTAGGGGCCCCTTTAAGAGTAATCCTAAAACACCTTGCTTCAAGGACTGTTGCTCCTGATATAAATCAGTTTGTTGCCCTTGTGCATCGACCAAATGAATCCTTCTTCCTTGTTCCCCAGGTATTGTTTCATGTGCATAGCCTGGTTTTAATTCTAATGATCTACATAAATTTATTTTATATTTCATTCTCTCATGCGGGTATTATTTGTTGTGCCTCAGATAGTCCTCTCTCATTCTCTTTATGTAAAAATAATTGTTTGATTTTTTTTTTTGGTTGGAGGTGCAACCATGTGTCCATGTCTACCTTACTGTGGTTACATTGTTATTTAACTGGATAGAAAATTATACTTTAGCAGGCAGAGAAGGTGACAGTGGTATTTCCAATGAGATTCAAGGACTCAATAGACATTGTTCTAGCAACCTCCTTCCTCCAGGTACATTCAGTGGGTGCAACAATTATATGCTGATCTTGTGGTTATATTTCTTGTTTTTCTCTCTAAATGTTTCATCATCATTCAGGAATTCATGGAGTCAAGGCGTACAGCTGGGCTGAGTAATGCACCTCCTTGTTTGTGGTCTCAGTCTCCCCCGCTAGAACTGAAGGGGGCAACTGATGATGCATTATCAGCAAATGCAGGATTTGTTACTTTTGGTAATACCAGAATATTGGAGATCCTTTTCCACTTTAGTTCTGTGGCCAATATTGACAAACTCTGATGTTCAATAATGCAGTTATTTTTCCCCGGCATGTGGAAGGCAAAAAATTGGACCGTACTGTGTGGAATTTATCAACATTTCATGCATATGTGAATTATCATGTTAAGGTCAGTTTTATTTTGTTTACATTTCTTTGCTTCATTAGCAATTTTAAATTTGAGATACAAATAAGTCGAGTGCTTGTAGCCTAATTGTTATATTGACTGAGCAGTTCGTGTAATAGTTGTTAGACTAGGATTCTAAATTGATTGTGTACTTTTTATATGTATTATGTTTAAAAAGAGAGAAAATAAGATACGGGTTTAAATAGACTGCAGTTAGGCATGAGAGTTGGAGAAAGTGCTTGTTCCTGAGAAGGCTATGAAAGACACGAATGAAGTTGTTTTTGATAAATTTTCTAATAACAAATTGTCATCCTAATTTAAAAGCTGTAGAAATCATGCCTTTTGGTGGATTCAACTTGGCATTTATGATGTAACTGTCACGTGCCTAACTGCTGTGTCTGTAGTAGTTATAATCTTCTGTAAAGGAGTGATCTAATTTTATGGGTCAAATCTATGTTAGGAAAGGCTAGTAATTTGGTTTGTTTAATTAAGACTTAGGTTATGCTTTTATTTTTTCCTTGGGGTTCTTGATTCTGTTTTATATTTCAGTTTTTTTATTTTCCTTTTAAGAAGCCATTTAAGGAAATAGGAGCACGTGATGCTGCAGAAGTGTTTGATGATATGTTCGATGTAGATCTTGATGAGATAGGGATGTTTGGAGCCTCAAATTGAAAAAATCTCATGGAAAATATTGAGGGCAAAGCTATAAAGTCACAAGAACAACAGCCGAATGAGAGCTAGAATGGTGATGTGCTAAACATGAAAGATTGCAATGCGATGCCGTGTGTTAATTGACCCATGTCTCGAGTTGTTGAGATTGCATATAGGGAAATCATACTTGAACCCTTTTTTCACTATAGGTATAGGTTGATACCAAGCGTCAATTTCAAACTCAGCACTGGTAATAGATGAATTTGTTGGAGATGTGCTTTCTGCTGATGGAATAGCACCTGGTGGAGAAGAAACTGAAGAACTTTGAAGTTTTTTCTCTTGGTCTGAACAAAAAACTATTATGAATGTACAAGAAGCAGTAGAGATGAGAGAACTTTATGGCATATCATGAATTGAGGAACTTGAGTATCTTCACTCGGGTGTCCAAAAAGAAAGGAGAATTCATATTGATAACAACCATTGGATTTAAGGATGGATGACATGAAACGTTCTCTAGAGAGTTTATTCGTTAAGTTTTATCTGATATTATACAATATGCTCATAAGATCAGAAAATTCGTAGAGGACTTAATGCTAGGCAGCTGATATCAGTCTAAGCACAAATTAAGTAGGATGTATGACTCCAATCCAAAAAAAAAATGTAGGATGTATGGCACATAAGCAAATAAGTTTAGAAATGATTGCATAAAGCAAAAGGTTGAACTCCTTTCTATTGAGAACTAATTTGGAGGACATGTAAAAAGGAGCTCTATAATTGCCCTCTCCAGAAAGACTGATAATGTAGTACCCTGTTTTTTTTTACTGAAACTACTAATAGTGTGGTTTTCAATGCCCTAAAAAGATATGGTTAATCACCAATATCTTTCTGGAATCTATTATATTTGGTTATATATATATATATACTAAATTGCATGTTAACTATCTACACTGCTTCCTGGTTAATATCATTCTAATGTTTTACTACAGGGAATTCAAGGAACACCATGCATTTTTGGCATTTTAACATATCGACATAATAATTGTCTTTTACTTCAGCTTGCTGTATGATTAGACACTTGTGCAATGTTTAATTTATATGATTTCCATTTTATTCCTTAGTGCTCAGAGGGGTTTATGCACAGCCGGATGCGACGGCGTGTGGAGTCATTGATTCAGGTAGTATCATCTGTCACTTGATTTTGATTGTGTCGACGACATCTGCAGTTTGACAGTTGTTCCGTAGGATCCATTTTGCTGCAAGCTTTCTTGTTATTATCTTGAGTTTTTTTTTCCCCCCGACAGTTTTTGACTACTGGTAAGAATCTATATGCAGGCTCTGAATTGTGCCAAACCAGATCAGGAGAAGACCAAGAAAACATCACAAACAAGATCTTTGAAACGTCTGGTATGTAATGTAAATGATAAACGCCGTACTTAATATCGAATTTGCTGATGCTGAATAAGAAATATGCTTGGTTGTAGAGTCTCAAGGACAGTCGAACCAATTCAAGTTCATAATGTGCTAGCTGTTGATATGCCTTCGTCGTTCGTACCGCCAAGAAAAAAAGTAGATGGCCTGTCCTGGGTAAAGATTAGGATGACAGTGGGTGGTATGAAATTATTCAATCTGATTTTTTGTGAATGTGGATATTTCATGGCAAATTTGGATAGGAATCCTTGAATACATGAATTTTGCTTTGGCTTATTTCGGATAATATTTGATACCAAAATCCGTTATATGAATTCACTTGTATGGATATTATTGGATACTTAAATCCATTATCGGTTTACATTTTCATATTTATATCTTTGAGTCTGGGCTGTATATATTATGGCCGAACTAGTTTGGAAAAAGAGTAGGCTACAGCATGGACGGACCCAAGATTTGGATGAATTTTTAAAATTTTAAGAGACGTAAACTTATAAAATTTTAATAGAGTAAAAATAGATTATCAATAAAAGAATATAAAGAAAACATTTAAAATATATTATAATTTAAATTTTTCAGAGAAAGATTGCCTTTGTCTGCTCCCCACCTATCCACGGGTTACAATTTATTGATTCAGTACCTAGTGAGCTGAGTTGTATTTTTTTTTTGGTTTAATTTGGAAAAAAATGTTCAAAATATATATATTGAGTTAACTTTAGGGGTTTAAAGAATTTTTCGTTAAAATAGTTGTCTTATGTTTTATCTGTTATACTTTTAGGTGTTTGGTCTGTTAAGGTCTTTAAATTCGATCGTTATTTGACACGTATCATGTTTATATTTTTTGGATTTTTTATTTTTTTAAATTAAGAAAATTGTTATTTTTTATAAAAAAAAAATCAACTATTTTTTGAAATTATATAAAAAAGAAAATGGTTTAATACACTTTTTAGTGCTTAAACTGTACCTCAAAATACAATTTGGTGTCTAAAGAATTTTTTGTTAAAAATAGGTGCCAAACGTTTTCAATGTTATATTTTTAGGTGCTGGTATTGTAACGGTCGTTAAATTTAGCTATTATCTAACACGTGTCACACATATAAAATTTCAAAAATTATTTTATTTAGAAAAATCTTAATATTATAATTTTAAAAAACCAAATTTTACATCTTCCGTTGCTGATTGGCCAACGTCGGTCCATGGCCATCACAGTTGACACCATCAGAACTGTTTCACCATCGCGACCAAAACCCAATCCTCACCCACCGTGAAAATTACGCCAATCGTGTGAAAAACGTTGCGAATGGTCGCCAGATTTCTAGGTTTTTCGTTGTTGTTTTTTGTTGATTTCGACAGCTATAACCATTCGTACATTACACGGATGCCATTGTTAAGTTCCTCGTCCTGCTCCGAACAAAGCCCGACCTGTGGTGACCATTCACCATTGGAGATGGGGGGATAGGAGGGAGAGGGACGATGCGGGATAGGCACCTAAAAGTGTAACAGATAAAACATTATACACATATTTTTAGCAAATAGTTCTTTAAGCACCAAACCGTATTTTAAGATAAAGTTTAAGCACTAAAAAGTGTATTAAGTAAAAAAAAAACCTTTGAAACTTTAAAATATCTCATTCCAACCCCCATTACCAGCCGTCGTTAGTCATCTCTAGATGTCTTTGACATTGTCGAATGACCTTCTCCCGTCGTCGAACCTTCACTGTCAATTATTCCTCTTGCCGTCATCCCAATCCCTTAAATTTATAAACCCCTTAACTTAAATCCCTAAACATAATACTCAAATCCTAAATTTATCATATCATTTTCATGTTTCAGAGAGGGGAAGCATGCATTAATGCATGAAATTAGATTTGGCGCTAATGATTTGGCGCACGATTGAGAGAGAGTTGCATCATTGCACGAAATTAGCGCACAAATGTTTTTTTATAATTTTAAAACAATGTTTTTTTAAAATAATAATTTCAAGCGTATTCTAAAAAAATTAAAATTTTATAAACTTTACATGTATCACTTAAACGGTTATTATGGTCTAAGCATTTAAAAGTGAAACAGAGAAAATGTAAAACGCTTATTATAACGAAAAATTCTTTAAACACATAAAATTAACTGAAATTATAGTTTTAATGCTTACTTTTACATTAAAATTATTTTATTTGGGGGTAGGAGTACATGGTCACATTTTATTAATTGAATACCTAGTGAACGGGGTTGTATTTTATTTTTGGATGTAATATGGACTTTTATTTTGAAAATTTAATTATTTTAATCCTTTTTATTTTAAATTTAGTGATAATTTAATATATATATATATATATATAATAATTTAAGTCTAATATATATAATAATTAAATTAAATATTAATATAAACTTTTATTTTATTTAGATGTATCAAGTTACAATCCCAATAGCAGCTAAAATCCGTTATCAAAGCCCAAAAATTTAACCCACATCTGCCTCAGCCTGCTTAACCCAGTCCACTAGCCTAGACCCCTTAAACCAATTTATATATATAGTTTTCATGGCGTTTAAAGCAAATTATTATTATTATTATTAACTAATGAAAATATACAAAATAGAAAAGGGGACCGTACCAAATAATTATATATATTCATTATGTTTATTGATATCATGTTATGAGATAAAGAAGTAAAAAGAAGAATATAAGTTTAAGAAAACAAAGTGTACATGAATACATAGAAACTGTGGATAAACTATACGGTGGTCCCTTATATTTTCGATTCGTCCAGTTTTGGTCATCTATTCAATAGCCGAGCTGCAAAGGCGGAGTAAGTAAAATTGGCGGAATGTGCATCGATCTGCGAAAATTTCCTCGCCTTCTTTGTCGATGTTTATCATTAGCATTCCGGCACATCCGAGCAATTTTACTTGCTCCCCTATTGCAGGTTGACTATTGATTCCTCTTTGGACATTTTGTTGCGGTGAAAGAGATTGGGAGGTGTTGGAGAGTTGGGAATGGAGAATTGTCATGGATGGCGACGTAGAAAAAGAATAATGAAACGTGTATTTTTTTTTATTTTTTTTAATTATTAACTCAAACTTTTGTTAATGGATTAACGAGAGTTAACATTTGAGAGACTAAAACCGAACGAGTCAATAATTTAAGAGATTAAAACCAATTTTTTTAACCGATGACTAAAATCGGACTGACCAAAAACATAGGTGATCATCTATATAGTTTATCCGAAAATTTTATATTATTTTTTCAAGAAAATATATATAAATTTTTTCATTTTCAAAGTCTATATTTATAACTATAAATAGTATATATCATATAAAATTTTAACCTAATATATATCAAATTCTAATAATAAAGTACATCAAATTTTTATTAGATAGAAAATACCCTTACTATATCTTTCTTGACTCGTAAGGAAACCTAGGGTCATATTTCTAGAATTATCATACAAGTTATTTAGTAAGTCTTTGATGGTAATCTTGTTTGTTGAAAGTTTTTACAATTCCAGAGGTAAAGATAGTCGTACTCCAAAAACCTAATCCTTTGTGATGTGGGTGAGAGTAGGGATGGATATAGATCGGGTTTTAGGTCAATTCTATTCTATTAGAAAAATATACCCTCTTCATATGAAATTTGATCCGATTCAAATTTAATTTTTTTAAAAAAAATCGATCCAATAAGATTAAGTCAAATTAAAAACTGTCAAATTTAGGTGTTGTTGGAAAATATTTTTGTGTTTCAATATAACAAATTAAGTTTAAATGAATTTTAAGATTTTACAAATGATTTTCTAAGTATATTCGATTTAATTAATCGAATATCAAATTATTACTCTAAGTCTTTCAAGTTCAAATTCAAACCTTACTAAATATGTAAAATTGTGTTTTATACTTAAACTATTTTTGAAACAATTTTCATAAAGTATTTTGAACCAAAATCAAGCCTAAAATCAATTTATCAAAGTGATGCACCGATGCACCAATCCATGCATCGATGCACCATGAATTAAATTGAACATCAAATGCATTTCATGCATCGATCCACATACCATGCACCGATACACTGAGGATTTTATGAAAACATCGAATGCATTTGATGCATCGATGCACCAGCCATGCATCGATGCACTCTGGCTATTTTGAAACATCGAATGCACTTGATGCATCGATGCACTCTTAGTGCACCGATGCACTAAGGGTTCAATGGTCAAAATATTTGAATTTTACACTGATGCATCGATGCACCATGGGTATGCATCGATGCATTGACGCTCCCAACTGAATTTATTAATTGTTTTCGCACTTAAACGGCTCTATTGACTCCACTAAGCATCCCCAACGTTCAGAATCATTTAAAGGTGTATTTAAACAAGCTTAGAAGCCATTGATCAATAATAAGAAACAACAATCAACAAGAATCAAGAGAGAATCAAAGAGAAAGCATCAAACCTCAAGTTTGAGCATTTCAATCCTATTTTTCATTCAATATTCATTTTGCTTTCAAGAACACTACTTGTACTCAATTGTATTCATTTTTAGTGTTCTTTTCTTTGTTCTAGAATTGTGCAAACAATCTACCTTGTGAGGATTTCCTTGTAAGTTTGCAAATTTGTAATCTTCTCTTTGAGAAAGAGTGTTCTCAAGAATTGGGGTATATTCTTGAGGGAGCTGTAAGGTTATCTCTTTGGCCTCAAAAGAAAGAACAAATTAGTGAATTTGTTGGAAAATCCTTAGTGTGGATAGCTAAGGTAGTGGACATAGGCTTTGGTTGAGAAAGTAGAACCACACTAAATCGTTGTGCAAATCTTTTCAATTTTCTGCAAAAGCTTCCACCAAAATTTTAATTGTCAATTTACCCCCCTCTTGGCCGATTTCGTCAATCGATTAACTCAAAAATTGGTATCATAGCCTCACTCATTTGAAGGTTTAATCACCTCTTGAGTCGATTCGGGGAGAGTTAAATCGATAAAGATGGCGTCCACTTCTGGTTCATTCTCCATGGAAGAATCCATACCAATTGACGTGCCTCCACACTTCAACAGAACAAATTATCGTCGTTGGAAGAGGTTTATGATGATATTTATCCAAGCATTTGATATGTAATCTTGGATGATAATCAAGAAATGA